GAAACATAACCAAATGCACGAACAAAGGTGAAACATAACCAGCCGCACAACCAAAATGAAAATTCATTTAATTTTTTTAAATTTTGAGATCACAATGAGAGTGAAAACTCGCAAGGAAAATTTTTTTTTTCCTTGAGTTCAAGAGTTTCCAAATTTAAAAAATTAATGTGCATCTCACTCCAAGTTTATCCAACCAACAGATCAACAAAACTACAAGGCAACAGAAGTAGCATATAAAAAAAATTGGTTTTTTCATTACCAAGGCGATAACTGGACAGGAACACTAGCAAAATTACCTCAAGGAATAACCAAATCAAAAGCACTGGTAATGGTGTTATACAGAACAAGAATTAAACAAGCCCACAGTAGGAGATAACTCAGGAATCATAGTGATAGGTATGGGCAGCTAAATCAATAAACAAGAAAGACAACAACAAATCCTCAACTTAGATCTTTGAAGTGAGAATGAGCACTTACGCAGTCAAGGTGATAACTAGATCGCGGCAAGGGAAGAAGAAGAATGCCCAATGATAAAAAAATTACCATCCTATACTGACAAAATAAGAACAAAAAGATGGGAGAAGAAGAAGATGGGGATAGGGTTACTGCAATCGCTCTCTGCTTCTCGAAATGATACTCGTAAATGCTCACAAATGACTTCCCTTTCCCTTGTTAATGACAAAATAAGGATGTGAAGGTAATTTCATGGGAGAATAACCGCGTGCTGCAAGACAAAAGCTGCACCCGCATTTTTCAATTTTTTAACCAACACTTTTTCACAAATACACGTACAATGTGTGAATCAAACACAGCGTCTTGCACGACGCAAGTAAAACATTGCCTTAAATAGGTTTTAAAACTCATTTCTACTAATAGTAATAGCAATTATTCTATATATACATTTAATTTGTTATATTAAAAATCTTTTCTTCTCTTTTTATTAAGTTTCCTGATTTTGTTTTTTATATATCAGTATAATTATTCATAATAATAATGTTTAAAATATATCTTTGTCAAATCTACCTCATACACAATAATCCTTATAAATTTAATATTAATATTGTATATTTAATAAAAAAATAAGATATGATAAGGAAAATATAAATTCTAATATAAAATAGACTTTATTGTAAGGATGTTCACACGGACTTTTCCATATAGTTCATGTTACTTATCTGGTTTTTGGCAACTTGGGCTTTCGGTGTCATAGCCCAACTACTTGACTGCCCATGAGAAGCTAAACGCTCTGTACAACAATACATAAACTTCCAATTCCAAGGAAAAAAATACATGGTGACACCAAATCTGTCAACGAACTCATAAGTTTATTTTGATTTTAAAGCTCGTGAAAGGCATATTATTTTTCCCTCATGAAATGAATTCAGTGTTTTTTTTGACTTTGAAAGCAAATTCTGGACTCATTTAACTGCCATTATTTGTTTAAAAAGAAGCACCACCTATAGTTATAATTGAGGTCGACGTCCAACCTTAAGAAAGGATCATTATATCTACAAACTACGTAATATATTATACATGATTATTCAAAATTAATTGATTATGATAACTTAGAGATTAAACAAAACAAACAAATTTAATCTCTTATGAAGCTCAAAAATCTTCACAAGATCAACAAATATTCAAAGACAAGTAACAATAAATTATTTTGAAACAGCTGCCAGTATTATATAAGATCGGATGGTAGAGTTTACTTACCTTTTAGTTGAAAGCTTTATATTCTACATATTTGCAAGAAAATTACTAGGAAGACTTTCTATATATAAAAAAACAATTTTAAATTTGATGCATGTAAATTCCATACATATATCTATATATATAACAAGCGCTGGTTGTGCATCTGTTTGTTAGTTGTAAATCTTATCTGATCTGAGGTTTGATTCCTCCTGAATGTACGGTGTTGTACTCGAATTCTTAGATGCATGAGGGATGATTAGAACTTGTATAATAGCCACACGTCATTCTTTTAATTATATATATATA